GGCCAAATGTAATTAGGCTGGGGCCAGAGTTTGACACCTATGTCTTACTGGTTCAGTCAATTCGGGATCAAAACAAACCTTAGTATGGATGTTATTCAAATTCATGGTGACTGCTAACTTGTTATGCAAAAAAGAAAACCAGCGCTGTAAATAATTGTTTGTTTTTCATTGACACACAATCTTATTATGGAAAGTAAAGGGTTTGGGGTTTTTTTTCTAAATGCCTCTAGATATAGGAGAATGATTTATTTGTTAAAGTGCAGATGTTATCTTTATGTTTATCTAATAAATTCACTAACATTTACCCACTTAAAATACCTTTTTTTTTTTCTTTTTTTTTAGCTATGTATTAGAGTATCATGCTTAATTTACTATCAAGGCCAAACCCTTAAGGGTATTATAATTACATCAAAGGGCTAACAACCTTTTTATTTCCCTCCGCTGTCTTTATTTAACAAATTGCACTGTTTCTGTTATGTTAATGATTTAGCAAAGGCTTATTTTGCATCTTTTCCGTCATGTGACAGTCATCCTCCAGCAGCCTGTTGGGCAATGGTGGTGGTATTGTTTTTGAGAGGGTTGGGAGTATGAATGCATTCACTTCCATATGTGTTTAGACATTGACACAACTTTTATTTTAGCTCCTTTATTTAAGTTGCAATTAAAGTGCTAACTCTCTGAAGTACTTTGAAGGATATTCATGCTCAAGGGATTACAGCACTTTAATATGTGCACCTTTATTTTGAAGGGACCAAAACCGTTGTATGTGCTAATTCTAGTACTGCTCACCTGTGGTCGTCAAAATTTCAATATTGTTTGCATTGTTTTCCTCTCTCTTTTTTATAGCTTAGTGATCAGCCTTCGCTGGAGGAAGCCATCAGAATAGCATCAAGAATACAGCAAGGAGAGTCACCAGGCCTGGATGATTGATCGATAAGGACAGTGATTATGAATTAAGACTAATTTCAAATGGACTATGTCAGTGGGAGAAATCATGAGTCTTCCTCAATGTTTTTCCACAAAAGAATTTAGCTTTTATGTGTACATAGAATTTTGATAACTGGAGTTCTGGTGTGCTATTTTGTCCCTCTACATAAAATGTGAGAGGATGAGGGGGGGTGGGGAGGGGGGGCTTTCTAATGTTTATGGTGCACAGTACTGCAGTGTACAGCTAATGCTATTTCTAATAAAAAAAACAAACAAAAAAGTGTGATTGTGTGACTGCAGTTGATTTTCAACACCCACGTGCTTATTAACTTTGTCTCCTTTCAACCTTGCTCCATTTAGAAGGTAAAAATACCTAGAGGACAAAGGGAAACTGTATAACACAAAATTTTTATAAAAGATTACAGAAAGATATGAATGACAAGCACAATAAAAAAAGATCCAGAATAGTTAAAAAGAGCATTGTGCAAACACATTACAGTACATGGAAAACTTTTTCAACTACCCTGAGGAATGGAGAAGAAGTGTACTGGTACTGATTTTCAAAGAGCAGAACTGTAGTAACTACATGGGAATAAAGTTGATGAACCATACCATGAAGATGTGTGAAAAAAATGTTAGGCTTCATTCTGAGAAAGCACACTATAGATGTGTTGTTTGCTTCCAGACTGTTGATGGACCCTAGGTCAGAAAGGGTTTCACTGTGTCTTTGTGGATGTAGATAAAGCAGACAATAGGGTGCCAAGAGAGAAACTGGTACTGCATGAATAAGTTGGGAATGAGATTTTTGCATGAAATCTTCTTTTTAGCCACATTTTTTAAATCTAGTGTGTTTTAGGCGTCTCCCATACTCCGTTGATGCATTTTGCACCATTTCAACACCTTCGTGCACAAAATCTGCCATAGAATCCTCATACAGCAGTATATTTTTCTGCTTTTTTTCATAAATCACTTCATCAACTTGAGCCCTTTTCAAAATGATTAAACATTAATTTATTTTCAAAAATGTAAACTTAATGACAGTTTCAGATATTTGAATTATTAAGCATTTATTGAAAAAAACTTTGTCAATAAACTTACTAACTACTATAAACATACTAACTCGCATAACTTGTATATAACGGGTGGGTGTTTATGTTAATGTTTACTTGATCTTTATCTATCGCGGCGTCTTTGATCTTTCCGCCTGAATAAATTGTCCTTAATGGTCGCGTCTCGGTCAGCGTGTAAAGGCACGCGTTCGCGCCAGATTGTTGCTTTGCTATTCATGACGTAACGTCTCCCGAAACCGCACTGGAACGCCCATCTTTCAAAATTTAGGGACGAGATGTGATTGGCTGCGCATGGCATGTGACCAACGGTCGCGGGAAGTCCTTTCCCACGCGCGTGATAGGAAGGAGTTGGTAGTTGACTCATTCAAACTTTTTGTAAACATTGGAATGGTTTAATTGTGGAAAGACGTGTTTCTCTGTCAGTCAGCCGTCAAGAAGGTAGTGACGGACACTCACACCCGTCGGGTGGGGGCTTTACTTTTCGGAATTAATTCAATATCAGCTCAACTTCGGACGTTGTTCTCGGGGCCATTTTTAGCGTTGGATGGGCGTGTGAGACTCAGCAAACACGTTAACTTTGTAGGCGAAGCTTCTGAAGGTAAAAGTCGTTCTTTTCAGGCTTTTGGATCAATACCTTTAATTTGAGGCAACTAGAAGTGTTGTATCTCATTAAAAAAAACGTCATTTAAGCAGTGCTGTGGATCCGCCGCGTGCTTTTCAGTTTTTGGGTTTTTTGTGTTTTTTACGGCGTCAACGAAGCCGGGTTTTAAATCCTGAAAATGTCGAGCTACAGCCGCCATCGGCACGGATCTCCTTCTCCCAAAAGTCGGCCAATCCGTCAGAAATTACAGTTCACATGCAGCGACGGAGAGGACGACATCATCGAGGACATCAATAACAGCACAGGGGGAGAGTCTGGCTTCACGGAGATGGATTCCCCGATGCCAGTGCGACGGATCATCACCGATAAATGCCTGGACGGGAGCAGCAGCCCCCTGAATCAGTCTGGTGGGGACGAAGACGTGGAGCTATGGGACGAGGAGGAGAGTTTTGGATCCCCAACTCACCTGCAGTCACCCAGCAGTGTTATATTCGCCAACTGCTCGCCATCCCCTCGGAAAAACTCTCGGCTGTTTAGAGGGTCTCCCTGTCGTCCCGGATCTCCGGACGACGGGGGATCCAGCTCCCCGATCCCGGACTGTCCAGACACACCCCCGCACAAAACCTTCAAGAAACTGCGGCTTTTTGACACACCGCACACACCAAAGGTAAATGTAATTTAATTTTTGAGACATTATTCATAATCAGACTCTTGCAAAACCGAACATTTGAGTGCACTTTCTTGTCTTGTCTCTGTAGTTTATTAGCTTACTGCTTCGATCGTTTCTCTGTCTTTTCGGGCCTAAAAGTGGAAAGAGATCAGGCCTTTTAGCAAACACACTGATTCAAATTTTTGAACTTCTGGAGAGTCCGTTAATCACCCACTGACCCACTTAATGTATAACTGTACTTATTGCATAACGTTATAGTCATCCACACAGTTGTATGTCTGGGCATGTCTATCAACGAGTGAGCATTTAATTTAAAGTACCTTTACATTATAAATACCAGTTATTGTTCTTAGCTTATTTTATGCGCATATTGGTTGAAACAGATGGTTTTTTGGTGTTTTTAGTCCTTCTGCTCTGTTATTCTCTCATCTCTAATACTGACTTTTGCAGAGTTTATTGTCCAGAGCTAGAAGCTCAGGCCCGGGGTCCTCCAGCAGGAGAGTTTCCTTATTCAAGAAAGTGGACGTTTCAGGAAAGTCACTTATTGACAGTGGCAAGAGACAGCAGACCCCCCTGGTCAACTTTAACCCCTTTACCCCTGACTCCCTCCTCATTCAGTCTGCCACACAGCAGAGAATCAACAGAAAGCGAGCACACTGGAATGAGTAAGCTCATAACTTTATATCTTGCATCTTTAGATCAGTCCTCAAAAACCGCGTGTTACACGTCATTGTACTTGAAATGTGGCTGTTGGAGTCGATAAACTGCTGTCAATGATTTTGTTCCAGATTTCCCAGCCATAACAGTTAGTCTTTAATTATCTTAATGTTAATACAGCTATGCAACAATCGTTAAACACACAATGTAGTAGCCGATTTTGTAGACCTGTATTAAACTTTACCTGTTTCCTTCAGCACTTTCAGAATATCTAAACATTTGGTTTACCACGACCTCACTGAACTCTGCCATGTGCTCTTGAAGTCCTCAGTGCTGCCCCCTGCTGTACAGAATGCTAACCCACATTATTCTTTATCTTTACACTTGTAGCTCCTGTGGAGAAGACATGGAGGCGAGTGACGGTGAAGGAGAGGAGGAAGTGGTGCCACCATCTAAGGTATTTAGATGTTCTTGTCATTTCTAGTCAGATTCAGTGCCTCTATTTTATTGTTGGGGTGTGTTGCTGGCACTGCAAACCAGAAAAGTTTTCTTTATTCTGTCTGGGTGTGAATAGTGTTTTCTAGGAGTCTGAGAGATTTGAGGTTTTATAAATGACTAAATTGTCATATATTGAAGCCTTCAGTCACCAGATGTCAAACTCTATGAATATGTGTGGTGTATATTGGGCTTGTTAAATGCATCTTTCCATCACGATCAGTAAGAGCACCAAATGAGAGAATATTTTTCGAGAAATGGTTTTCCATCTGTAGGTAAAGGTCTAGAATTCTGTTTTGGTTATGTTGTTTTTTTGGATGGAAGCCACATATAAACATAAGTAAAATGAATTTCTCTCATAGGGGAAATTATGTGAAGAAAAGTTTGCTGCTATTTAAATTTTATTTGGTTCCTTTTAAATTTGTAGCTACAGATGTAAAATTTGTGAAACATACCACGAAAGTTAAAAACAAAACACGAACCACACAGGTTAACTTTTTTTTTTTTTTTTTTTAAATTAACAAATCTACAACAAAGGAAAATTTGGTAATTGTTGAAGTTATAAATTTTGTGGAACGAGATTTAAATGGAAATTCCAAAACGAGTATGTTGCACAATGCTCTTTGTTATTCTAAACACAACATAGAAAAGGCTCGTTCACATGTGTATTTCATATGTAAATTGCCTCAAAACTATTAGCTGGGTAAACCTGTTGGTTTCGGTGGTAACTGGACTGGAAAAGCGAGCTTCGTGCTGGTTGATGGTTGGATTTCAGTGATTGTATCAGATTTTCTTTTGTTAAAACTCCTCTCCTGCCCTCAGAGGATCACAATGATGGAAAGCAACATGACGTCCCGGTATGCTTCAGAGTTCCTCGAGTTGGAGAAAATCGGCTGCGGGGAGTTCGGTGCTGTGTTCAAGTGCGTGAAAAGGCTTGACGGCTGCATGTATGCCATCAAGAGGTCAAAGAAACCTCTGGCGGGATCAGTAGACGAGTAAGTAGATTGGTTTGTTTAAACTACGCAAACGAAGATCATATTTATTTGTGGTGAATATTGGATACAAATTGGATGAGTGGAAAGATGGCTGGATTATTCAAACTTACCTGTACTACTGTGTTTGTAATAAGACACATGTGTATATACCCAAAGAGACCCATGTTTCCTCTTTCATGTTTTTAAAGGAGCTCACTAAAAGTTCTTTTACTGGAAAGTTTTGACCTCCACTCATGTGAACTACAAAAGCAGCTCCAGTCACGTCCTAATTAAAACGGTCTGTTCTCGTTCACAGGCAAAATGCCTTACGGGAGGTGTATGCTCATGCCGTGCTGGGCCAACATCCCCATGTGGTACGCTACTACTCAGCCTGGGCTGAAGATGACCACATGCTCATCCAGAATGAGTACTGCAACGGCGGCACGCTGTCTGACGTCATCGCAGAGAACTACAGACGGCTCGGCTACCTGTCGGTGCTTGAACTGAAAAATCTGCTTGTGCAGGTCACACAGGGACTAAAGTACATCCACTCAACCTCTCTGGTGCACATGGATATCAAACCAAGTGAGTAATTGATCTTGATGTTAAAATATTGGGAGTTGCAATATTTGATGTATTTTTTTTTTAAAGCATAAAAGAATGGCCGTCGAACTTATTGAGAAGTTGGATTATTGGGCTTTCCTGCTTGAAAAAAATGTTTCAGGGATCTCGACAAGTTCAA